TTTGACGTGCAGCATTGGTGAAGTTGTTTTCCGCCTCATTACTTCGTTCTTCTTTAATCCTTGATGCCGATTTGAGCAACAATATCTCCCCGCTATTTGCTGCGTTCATGTGCCGCTACGGGCTTTGTTGGACCTGGGACTCTTTGGCACCAAACCCTCGCCTTGAGTTTTCATCTTGTTCATCGCACTCTCGACTTGATGCTGCTTCTTGCTCACACGCTTGTGCCTCTTCTCAACCTCAACCTCGAAGTCTTGAGCGAGCTTGCGCTTCTTCTGTCGTGCTTCCTTAGTCCGTCGGATGACGTTGCTGAATTGGTCAAGAAACCAGTCCCCTGCCTCTTCCCAATCGCGGGTAGGTAAAGACTGGAAGAAGTGCGCCTGTGCAGCACTCTCGTAATTCCTTTGCACGTGAAGAAGGCGTTTAGCCAGAGGCTTCTGGAGTGTCTCCTCTGGGAGAGATAGAGGCCCGGTCTGCGGATTGGTATCGAAACTCTCACTCTTCAGCTGTCCGTAGCTCATTGCATGGAGGATTGACAGATCGTAATCAAGGTGTGGGTGCATGCCCGCGGGCTCAAACTGATGGGGCAGCGAGGATTTGCGCTGTATGATCGGAACCACTTGGTCATGTGCTGGTGTAGGGCGTTTGGCCGGAGCATGAACATCGAGAGAATTGAGAGGGTCTGGAGCAATACGCGCAGCCCCTGAGCGAGTCGTCTCGACATGTCGATGAGACTGATCAAAGAGTGACTGCTGATCCTGAATCCACTGCGGCTCGCCGGGCTTGGCTTGACCTGTCTTGCGATTTGCTTGAGCATGAGGAACCGGCTGACTCGGGTACATGGGTGCAATGCTGCCCCTGTGAGCATGCAGTGGCTTCTGGTCCTGGTGCGAGATTCCCCGCTGTTGGCCACGCAAATTTGCTGATTGCTTGAAAATAGAGTCCACAGGGTGGCCAGGCATGGGGCCTGTGCCTCCACGAAATCCACGACCCTTTGGCGGTGGTGCGTAGGATGTTTCGCCATTAGCGTCAGGACGCTTGGGAGATGAAGACATAACGTCGTCGTCGTCGATGTCCTCCGATGGCGGTGATTTCTGCACACCTTCTCCTTCACTGGGTTCGCCATTGGTTGTCGGCGGGTAGGAGTCACCCTCAATCGTGGGAAGTCCTTTTAGATGGGCATCTTGCAAAAACGCAGCGGCCTCAACAGGGGACAGATCCCGCATGTTCATCGAACGGAGGTAGTTCAAGTCCTGCTGCGTGAAGTGATGATTGGTATTGTCATTCCCACGGAACTCTTCGTCGTCTTTTTCAGACCCTCCCTCGCACTGGTCGAACCCTACGTAGTCATCAACCACCTTCGGATACTGCGCATCTCTGATCTGAAAATCTTCAGCTTGGATGACAGATTCATTCACCGTGGTGTCGATGCTCTCCGCGTCCGTGTCATAAGGATCACGTTTGACGCCTGGGCCTGAGTGGCGGCGCTGGGGCTCTTGCTGCATGAATGCAGCGCTATTCTGGAGCTTTCCGACCCCGCGAGTGGGAATGGCAGATGGCGGATGTACTTGCTGAGGGTTCTGAGAAGCAGGGCGTCTCTTCATTGAGACCTTCGCATTCGCAGCTCTCGCTTGCCGTGCGGGATCGATGCGTTGGGCATCAATGCCATTCTGCGGGCTGCCTGCACCATTGCGTTGCTGCACGAACTGTGAAATGCCTGACATCGCGACGGACGCGATCGACACGCGTGGAGCTTCTAGCTGAGTGCAGAGAGTGAGGGTCGCAGACAAGAGGTGAGTGTCGAAGCTCGAATGGGATAGCGCGTTGATGTTGTGCTCTAACTTGTCTGAGCACAGCCTCGGCGCGCCCGATTAGGCGAGCGTGGCGATGACGATATCTTACACCTATCTCGTCTCCGTTCACCCATCAGGTGCATGCCAGACTGCGCGCGCAAGCCAGATTTCACTTTTCTAGACAATTGAGAGCTTATGCAAGCCAATATGGCGGACTGTCATCTCCATAATCTTCCGAACGAGGTGTGTCGCTCTGTGCAACAACCTCGTCCGCCACGGGCTAATGGTTGTACCGTAGTTGCTTCTGCATCTCTTCACGCCCATATCCACACCTGAACTCCTGCCCATGACCTTAATCTCGCGGCGCTTGTCTACTGTCATCCTTCGTATCCTGCACAACCGTCTCATCGCCGCTGCCGAACTCAATTCGCATTCGCTCCTCCTCGAATGCTATCATCCCTCCGCAAAACTTTTCGAGCCCCCGTTCCACTGCGCATATATAGGAACTGATGGACTGGCTGCGCTTGATGTACGGAACGAGGCTGCTAGCAACATTGGAGGTTGTCTCGAGGACATGCGCGCCATGTACTCTCGCTTCAGGCCGTATCAACGTGAGTATGAAGATCGTGGTAGGAGAGTGACGCGACGGCCAGGAGATGTGCCCGGCAGTCGTACCTTTCCCGGCACAGCGCAGGATAAATATCACGGTGAGACTATCAAGCAGACACTCAGCTTAGAGTCCCACGAGTTGTTCACCCAGTTGGTCGCGCAAACGAATCTAGTCAAGATAGGGCCTCGCCACGGCCTTTTCACCTGCTTCCAGGATGTTGAGGAGGGAGTTTTGAGGGTATGGAAAGACTGGCTGGGAGGTATGGCAGCGGACGACCAGGGTGCAAATGTAGATACGCGAATTGAGGATTGCAATGAAATGACCAAGGGCAAACAGAAGGCGAAGAATTTCCTGGGGTCGTCGTCCTTCACCGATGAGCGAATCCTGTGGGTTAGTCCGTCTAAAAGGACTGGAATTCGATTCAACGTGAGGGAGAGAAAGTTTCGAAGAGATGCTCCCATCCTTGTTCGGGTAGACGAGGATCTACCAGTCAGTTACGAGATCGAGTACGAAGGTATGTCCTTCTTAATGTTAACGCAAATGCCGATTTCTGACCCGTCACGTAGAACTCCTTGTGCGGACCTCGCATCTCCTACTCATGCTGGAAAAGTCGTTGGTGCAAGAGGACAATTCTTCTGGCAAAGCAGTAGTATTTGGGTCGTTCGGATAACTAAATCGAAGAACGTCTCTGTGAATGGAGCCACTTCCAACTTTTTAAAACCACGGTCCCATAACAAAACGTTGATCCTAAATCGAAAATTGTTTACGGTCGCAAAAAACTAGCAAAAAGAAAGTCACACAAGTGACCCGAGAGTGATTTGAACACCCAACCTTCAGGTTACTAGATTAACTGGAATCTGACGCGCTACCATTGCGCCATCGGGCCTGATGATTTGATGGAAGTTTTGGAATCTCGATCGAATATATAGTAGCTTATAGGGACAAAAATACGCGACACGAGGCAAATGCACTGCAAAAAAATCGCACGACTTTTCTAATGACTACACATCGACTCCATCCTTGCATCCCCTAGTGGAGTCCGTGTGCGCGCATAGCGTGTGAAGCTTCAACCCCGCTAAGAGCCGAGGTACGTTCACGGCACCAGGCACTTGGCAAAAATATTGCCGTGGATGACACAAATCTTCGTCATCAGGACATTTGCCTGTACGCAAAAATTTCTCCGCTCCCAGAATCGAACTAGGGACCTTTCGATTACAAAGTAATATTACAGTCGAACGTGATACTAGTGAGATTAGTATGACTGCATTACGACACTTTGTGTGGGAGAACTAACAACCAACTACACCAAGCGGAGGAGTGCGACGACTGAGTCGTGCTTGGAATCCTGTTGGAATTGATGCCGATTTTCAAACTTATAAATACTATAGCCTGCTGTTTGTAAGAAGTGTGCATGCACTTCATTGTGCATGGGTGCTACTTCATGCATAGGGGCAAAGGAGTCTCGCCCGATGTCTGTGACTACGTGACTGAATCATGCAATGCCAGCATGTGGTTCGATTTACCACAGAACGTGGGAAAGTAAGCTCGCCAATATTACTCGATTGGTCGACATGAGCCATTTTGGCATGTTCTGACCAGACACAGTAGCTTAAAATCGACTCGCACTCCAGCAATAGCAGCCCCACTACTCGTAGTAGCACTAAATCCCAGCAAGACTACGCTGAAGACGTGAGGTGTATCCACAGAAGCAATAGTCTCTGTACTTGGCATGTTCAAGTAGCCCGAGGTCCCAGAGTGGGCGGGTCGTATGAACTGCCGCTCCTGGTGTGAACAACCTTGGAAGCAAGGCGATCGTACTTTGGAAGTTGCATGCAACGCTTGACTGAACATTACGCCCAACCGATGCGCACGATCGCGACGTATTGTTTTGCGCTGGCCTTTTCATGTCAGCTACAGACGTACGCTTGTAGCTAGGAGCGTCAGAGATGTGGTGTCGGACATAAATGAGCCAAAGATGACTACCTAGCTTGTGATTACTTTGCGCCCTAGTCGATGTAATTGAATTCGAAATCGAAAGATCTTTTCAACTTCCGAGTAATAGCCATATTCGCACCTTACTCCTGAAATGTAATGTAAAAAAGCACCTTGCTTCTGCGCCTACGATCTATGCATATCAACTTGACCTTGGGACCTCCACAATGTCTACGATATCCTAACGAATCTATCATGCGGAAGATTGGTTGTGCGCCTCAGCAAGGAGGGATAGAATGAAGGATGCAGAGCGTGTTCGGCCCTCGTCCTTAAAAGCCGTCGCTCCTCCTCGCAGCATGCATGCATGTAAATAACACGAGCAGACGTTTCGGAGTCGACCTTTCTCCACTGCCCCACCGCCGAAGCTAATATCTAGATCCTACTCCTTGGTGTACTTCTGGTGGTGTTAGTCATGTCATCGCAAGATATCATTTTTCGGGCAGATACAGTTGGCACACAAAATACTTGGGTTTTTGCGCTCAGACACTGTCGACAAACAAAGTGTTTCAGTGTGATATGGACATATATATCTGTAAATTAGAGGGATGCACAACAAGTCCAATATGGTCTAGGTAAGTTCCAAGTACGTCCTTCATCGTCTCTTCATTCTAACGTTTCGCAGTGGCTAGGATTTGCCGCTCTCAACGGAACACAACGCTCATTGCGCGCCGGCAAGGCCGGGGTTCGATTCCCCGTGTTGGAAAATGTATTTTTGCTTCCTCAGCATTCATGAAAGCGAGATGTGAATGCGCAGGGTGTGCGAGATATCGTTTCGTGGCGCACGGGCCATTGGTGAAGTATTTTCTTGTAGGTAAGCGAATAAACCACGCTAAACACGTTGAGTGGGGAGAGAGTCCCTTTTTTCCCTTTGCCATCGTATCATTTTTGTTGTGTCTGTGTGTTTCGCGCCATCCCATTCGACTCACACAGCTGTTTTGGCCACATCGTTTCCGCGATCGACGCGAGCTCGTCGAAGGCACCTAGGCAACATTGACATCGGCTACGACTTGTTCGCCCTGTCTGACCATCTCAAACGTTATAGAACCACGCGAAGTTGTCTTGTAAAGTGTTGCCGAGATGAGAGTGGGCGGACAGTAAGCTGTGCAATTCGTGGACATGATCGAAGGCCCGCTTGAAATTTGCCGTTACGTCATTTTTAACCATTCACCATTGAGACAAGGCCGAGAGTGTGCAAAGTACTGAGAAGCAAAGTTAGCTCAAGAATTAGGCGTCCTTCACATCCGGGAGCTCCGACACTACAATTCAGCCTCGTTCGGGATTGTCGGAAGCTTGGCAAGTCAGCATTGCGTGTGCAGTCTTGTTCGAACCCACGTCAAATAGATGACTAGGTGCTGCATAGACAATAACCTCAGAACCTTCTCTTTCCGTTCCACGTTGTCGCAGTGCCTGTACATTCCGCTCCTGAGAGCCTTCCCATTATTCGCCTTCAAATTGGCTCAACTATTTGAGTAGACAACAAATCTTGCCTTGGGGCAGCACAACCACACTCAGCATGTCTTTCGAACTTGCCCGGAAATTTGAATCTTACCACTTGATTCCGCAATCCTCTGATCTTGAGCTCAACCCTCCAGAGTCCTACTTCTTCATCACCGACTTCTTGATCATATCCTGCGGCGTTCTGTACACCTTGTGCTACACGTTCTACACTGTCCGAACATACAGCGATCGCTACCTCGCCGGTACAGTACAGTTTTTGTCTGCGACAATGGCCTATGAGATCTACTACGCCTACGTGTGTACCACGACAACCTTCCAGCGCGCTTGTTTCTTTGTCTGGTTCTTGTTCGATATCACGTTCGTCGTGACGGCGCTGAAGTATGCGTATAATGCAAGAGAAAGGAGAAGAGCAATATCGATGTTGGCGTGGCAGGTACCGGCCTGGGGAGTGTTTTTGTGGTGGTGTGGCAGAAGGTGGCCGGATGAGAGAGAGCAGAAGACTGCATTTTGGACAGGTCTATATTTGGAGTTGCCAATCGGGTGGGGCCAGGTGTATTACCTCGTAAAGAATGGCAACACGAAGGGGCAGAGTTTGGAGATCTGGTATGTTCTGACTCATGTCGCATTGAGGCGAAACAATGACAAAGTCGAATACTCACTGACTGCTGGTTGTAGGATCACGAGATACCTCGGTTGCATCACCGCGTTCTTGGTGTTCATCTGGCGATACTATAATGTTCCAGAGAACTGGGGGTATGTTGCCAATCCGTGGAGCGTAGGTGGTATGATCGTCACGTTACTGCCAGAGACAGTCTATCCGTTCTTCTACGTCTGGGCGCATCGAAAGGAAAGGAAAAGCGTAAAATTGCAGTGAACAGGGGCCGGCGACTCGTGTTACAGCTGTGCACAAAGCCCAAGACGGTCCCCTCGGAGTAAAGGCGCTTGGCCAGCGGAGGCGCGTCCGGAAAGTCGGCAACGGGCTAGAATCACGGTTCATGGGCTGAGGAACCTGGCAACCCGACGAGAACAGGAGGATTGATCGCACGACACCTACACAAGTACGCCATATGTCTCGAAACTTGAAAGTGGAGGAATTTCGCACATTCGATAAATGTGTAGCAGGGCAAGACAAACAAGCTCATCGGGTCAGGAAGATCGCCGTAGCCCAAGCTTATCACGTTGACGATCTTGCATGCAGCCACGACACAGAGCAGCGTCTGGCCCTGGCGTGCGCATATGACGTGGTGCGACCAGTAAATGCAGCCACACGTTTGCATTGCCCCTGCACGAGAGGGTGAGCTAGTGACGCTTTCAAAACATCATTCCTTAGCTAGTGATTGTGTCTTTCTCCTCCTCCCAACCTCCAGCACACGGGCAGGCGAAGCGCATCGGGATCGCGAAGCAATGGCGCACCAAGGGCAAGCAGCTGATTACTACAACGGCGCTGGCGCCCCACAACCACCGCAGGACGCATATTACCCAGACCAGCCCAAATACGGTCAACAGCCTCCCAATTATGGCCAGAACTACGGCCCTCTCCAAGGCCCACCCCCTGCGCAACAACATAACGCGTATCAGCAAGACGGCTATGGCAACGACACCAAGACATTTGAACAGCAATTCAAACTCGACAAGCCCAAGTACAATGATCTCTGGGCTGGCGCGCTCTTCATTGCTGTCTTCCTAGGGTATGTCGCGGTTAGCGCGATTTCGATCCGCGGTTATAGCAATCAGAATTCTGGAGGCATCTACGGCAATGTCAACCAATTTGCACTGAACTCGAACACGGTCATACTATTTGCCTTCGTGCTTGGCATGGCGACGCTGCTGAGTTTCGCATATATGTGCATGGCGAGGGTGTTGACGAAGCAACTGATCTGGATCACCGGAATATTAAGTAAGCTTTCTGATATCTTTCTGACCTCCTATACAGCTCGGCTGCTTACGTCGGGTCGCGTCCCAAACTTGCGACATTCTCTAGCCTGCACTACGACTTATCAGTGGGCATCTTCGAGCTGACATGGTCGCATAGATATCCTTTTCGGCTTCGCCACAGCTATATACATGCTCTCGCGCAGATACTGGTCGGGCGGCATAGTTTTCCTGATTTTCAGCATCTTCTACGTGATATGCTTCATTTCTTGGGCAAGTTCTCACCAAGGTTTCGAGCCGTGTCGTTAATAGTAAATAGATTCCGCGCATACCTTTTAGTGTGCTGATGCTCCAGACTGCCATCGACGTCTCCAAGAAATATGGTCATACGTACCTTGTTTCTCTCATCGGCGGTCTACTTGCAGCGGCTTTGGGCGCCTGGTATTCAGTCACACTAGTTGCTATATACGTCCAGTATACACCAAACGAAAACAACTCGCAATGCAACAATGGTTCCGGGGGATGCAGTAATGGCAAGGTCATCGGTCTTTTAGTCTTCGTCACCTTTGCCATGTACTGGATTTCCGAATGGTTGAAGAACACTATTCACACCACCATCTCTGGTGTTTATGGCTCATGGTATTTCAACCCAAATTCCATACCGAAAGGTGCCACTCGAGGAGCATTTAAGAGATCGGTCACATACAGCTTCGGTAGCGTGTCACTGGGTAGCCTGCTTGTCGCCATTATTCAGTTTCTTCGACAACTTTGCTCGGCTGCCCAGCGCAATGCAGCGGGTGACGGTAACATGATAGGCGCGGTCCTCTTCTGTGTCCTGGGCTGCTTGATTGGCATACTGAATTGGGCTGTCGAATTTTTAAACCGATATGCGTTCAGCTATATCGCATTGTATGGCAAGAGCTACATAGCTGCCGCAAAAGATACCTGGAAGTGAGTTTCTGCTTTTTTGAGGAAAAACAGACACGCTAAGTATAGTATTAGGATGATCAAGGATCGCGGCATTGATGCGCTGGTCAATGAGTGCCTGATCGGACCGGTCCTTACCATGGGCTCAACGTTCATTGCCTACGCCTGCGCGCTTCTCGCATACCTCTATCTCATCTTCACATCTCCGGCATACAACTCGGACGGCGGATATACGCCTGTGGTAGTAGCTTTCGCATTCCTCATTGGCCTGCAGATTTGCAACATCTTCACCACGCCACTCTCGAGTGGCATCGATACTATCTTCGTTGCCATGGCCTGGGATCCGCAGGTACTCATGAGGGAGCACCCGGACCTCTACCACAGGATGATTTCAGTCTATCCTCACGTTCAGGTAGCGATACATGCTTAAGAGACTGATAGGTTAGAGCGCAGGTGTAGAGAGGTGCAAACAGCAACAAAGCAGCCCATGACGATCCTACTGCACCACCAACGTTTGCTGGCTGAGATATCTTCCCCGCTTGCGAGGATGCCCTTGTCAATAACGCTGTCCGGTGGCCTTGGCGCCAGCTAATGGCGGGAGCGGGAGGGATCCATGGTTGAGATTATGACGTACACGTTCATCAAATATCGCTGTCTATCGAAAACTGTCTTGTTGGGATCGTAGCATGGCTCACATGTCTGCAGATGGTCCACGGCCGAGAACATGTGCATTTGACATGTATTGTATGACACGGACTAATGTGTTGGGCTCCAGCTTCTGCGGCATTAATTTTGAACATGCATATTGCTTCTGAGTCTCTTTCCTGCGGGCTCCGAGTCACCAGGTACAAAGCTATGCCACGCTCCCACGTCTCCAGTGCAATTTACTTTTGCACGCTGTATCCACCGCGCCGTTCTGTGCTTGCTATCCTTGCTAGCGCCCAATCAGAGTGGTAACTCATAACGTCACCGCCATAGCGGGGTGTGTTTCGCCAGCTCACCATCTGCCCCCAACATTGACCTTTACTCGCGTCCAACGTCTACGGCGATACTACTGCACCATTGGGCCCTGCCGCACACCGCTCGAGTAGCACGAGCGCCTGGCCAGGTAAGCCTCGTCCTGCAAAACTCTGCGCCTCTGCGACCTGGCATGGCCCTAGCTCTTACCTCTATACAAATACCCCGCCATAGCTTCCTTCCTTGCCTTTCGCTATCAACAACAAACCTTTCACTCCCCAATTCTCTTTCGCACACCGTGCAAGCAATTGACCCTCCATACCTTAGTATTATAATCACTCAACCCTATACGAAATCACAATCATGACTTTCGAGAAGAAGGTAAGCAGTCTGCGCGGTCAAGACGCAGTTCGTCTACTAAGTGCGTCCACAGGCCGTACATTTTGGCGGCGGCAACATTGGCCGTGGCTTCGTCGCCGAGTTTCTCCA